ATAAAAATAACAATAACAATAAAAATAATAATAATAATCATCATAATCATAATCATTATGAGAATAATAATGAGAATAATAATGAGAATAGTAATATTGTAACATGAACATAGCAAAAATGTATATAACGAAACACGCACATAGAGAACATGTTATACAGTTCGAAACGCCCACACAGCAGACAGATTTCAGGTTCTTATTTTAAAATAATCTTATACATGTACATTCCGTTTACAACAAGCTGCTTTCCTTTAGGATACACTCTGTGTTTCACTGTTCTCTTCCCTCCTGCCAATGGTCTAGATCTTTCTTCTTGAAACTGTTTATAGCTTACAAGCACCAAAACATGATTGGGGGCTCTCGTGGCCTAGATGTCAAGATGTTCGAATCCCATTTAAAGGTCCCGGTACGAATTCGGGAAGCGACCGATAAATGTTCTTCTGTAAAATTGTGTCCTTTCTCCTCCTTTCCTGCTCTCTAGCAATGTTCTGTTGTCCGCTTTGTCCCCACTTTCTTCCCCACCCCCTCACCTCCTTTGCCCCCTCCACTGGGCTCCTGACTCTTTCTGAGGCTTTTTTACTGCTACTCCTTTGCTTCTTCTTACTGCTGTCTTTCTGCTACACCCCTGATCTTCTGGTAGGAAAGATCTACACCTAGCCTTCTCAGACAAGGGCGAAAAATCTCGGAGGTCCCGTGACCAAATTGCGCACGTTAAAGATCCCTTAGTGGTCCAAAATCGATAAGAGTAGGCTTCGGCCGCCATCAGGGCAAAATTCAAAATTTCCTACCAATTGAAAAATAATGTTTGGTGTGTCCCGTGCGCTCATATGACCTCATGCAGTTGCGAGCGCCGTAAAACACTTACCCCAAAAACAAAAAAACAAAAAAACAAACAAACAAACAAACAACCCAAAACAACAACAACAACAACAACAAACAAACAAACCAAAAAAAAGAAAAAAAAACCAAATGATTATGTAAGTCTTTAGTTTAGTTTAAGTAAGAGTTTTAACACAAACAGGCCGTTGTAAGTGCCAAAGGTTAGAGAATTGACTAGAGAGCAACATACCATGTACAAGAAAAGAAAGGTGGTAAATATGGACGGTTGATGTTTGATGGTAAGAAAGGAGCAAACCACACCAGAGCACCCGCAAACCACCCACATGTAGGTCCAAGTTATTTCTATGATTAAGACAGTTGTCCGACTGTTTTCCATCTCACATGTAGGTCCAAGTTATTTCTATGATTAAGGCAGTTGTCCGATTGTCCTCCATCTCTCATGTAAGTCAAAGTTATTTCTGTTATTAAGACAGTTAATTGTCCCATTTTTCTCCATCTCTCATGTAAGTCAAAGTTATTTCTATGATTAAGGCAGTTGTCCGATTGTTCTCCATCTCTCAGGCTTGTTGGGCGCTCCAGTCCAAGATGACGAGAAGGATTATATCAAGAAGGCCAAAGACATGTACGCCTCTTGTCTAAACTATGGTGAGTCGTAGCAAGAAAAACAAAACTAAATATTTAATTAATTTGTTTTGCTCTACTGTTTTACATTACTTGTCTGTCTGTCTGTCTGTCTGTCTGTCTGTCGGTCTGTCGGTCTGTCGGTCTGTCTGACTATCTGATTTGCTCTCTACTCTATCTATCTATCTATCTATCTATCTATCTATCTATCTATCTATCTATCTATCT